TAAGGACAAAAAGTAAAATGCAATAGGCCAAACCTGGATATATCAAATCATAGAGAATAATTTATAAGGACATAGGTCATCATAACAAGGATGGAAAATGAATATGATAACCAGGAAATAGCAAAGTACCAACAGATAATTTGATAAATGTCATATCAAATGTGACAAAACCCCATATACTAAAATCTATCATGTGAAAATGAATGTGTAATAGCTGCTGCTAATGTCTCTTTTAGTTAATTAGTCTCTGTGCTGAACCAAGCATTCACCAAGATTGACTTCTGGTGATACATTAATCAAGAGATGAATTAAAATTTTGAAGAAAAAATGTAATGGTGTAAAAACTTGAAAATGGGACACTGGTGAGCTGACTTACTTTCTCATAGATTTAGCAAAACATATTATACATGTCATAATTTTCAATATGGATTGTGGAATAAGCTGTTATTAAAAGTTATTTTGATAAGACTTTATTCTACATGTATATATATATATTTCTAGCTTATCTACTACATTGTACCATGAAAGTAAATATTATCAATATTTATCATTCCTGTAAGTTTGGTTGAAGACCAGGTATAATTATGCAGTATTAGTATAATTTAATGCAGTCATTTATAAATTATGACTTATGTACATGTGATTATCAATAAGATATTGTGAAGCACTACATGTATATAGTCATAATTATATATAATAATACATGTAATTGTAATTTGGATTCTGCATACCAGGTTTTTGTTACAAATCACTTAATTTATTTTTCCTTTTTTTACAGGAATGTTCTAGGTCATGGATATTAAGCAGAAAGCCTTATGTAAGAAGACACCAGGATAGAAACAAAACTCTGGACAATTTAATGTGAACATTTTTCAAATACATAGGTCCTGTAAATGTGTTAATAATTTGATACATACAATTCATACTACAATGTACATACTCCATAGACAAATATTCCTATCTTTGCTTCTTATTCTGTATTTTTATTTCAAAAATGTGATTTGATTAAAATCAATGCAAGTTTTCAAAATGTGTTTTATTCATTTTTTTCTCTCCCGTTATAAAATGACTAAAATACATAGTAAGTAAACTTAGTAAATATTTTAAAATAACTTTCCAAGAATTTATTTCTCTGTGAGTTTTCACTCAGGAATTCTGGTTCAGAATCCGATATTACACTTGTAGTTTATTCTCAAATTCAAGATATGTTTACTTGTGTTATGAATGAGAGTTCACAGAACTACAATGTATTAGGTTCCAAAATCTGCATACATGCCCCCCACCCCCTCTGGATTCAGTNTTATACTTGGGGAGCTGTCTTAGAGATGTGTAACTGGGGATGGTATGCATATGTGTATAAATGTATGTTTATGTGTGTTGTAACCCATATCAGTATAGCATATAAGCCTATATGTGTATTTCAGACATTTGTAACGAACCCCTGTAGTAGGGGTTCGTTACACCTAGATCCACGAGGTCCCGTCTTAAATGAAATACAGTCGAACAGCCAAATTCATATCAAATGTTTCGTCCTTTCAAGCCACATTTGGTTTCCTGTCTAATTCGACACCAATTACTGCAGCTTCACATTCCAGAATATAAAGAACCTCGAAATTGAGCGGCTCTCCACTTCGAGCTAGGAAAGATGGTTGCCGTAGACTCGCAGCTGAGCCTGTGCACCGCGTCTAGACATTATTCTCCCGCGATGACGCATCAGATAATTTTACATCTTACGAATTCATCAACAAAAATTAAATATGACATTTAAAATATGGCTTTGTGTTTTGTTTCTATACAATTTGGCGTATCAATGTACACCGTCATGTTGTATGATGGTCCTTCAATGACGGACTATATTTTTTTATATTACGTCAATACGTAGACTTGCATAAGCTCCAGAACCTGTGAAAAATGATCAGAATTGACTTCACAAGTTCCAATTATCGAAAAAAACACGTTGATTGAAATATAAGGATTGAATCTTGCTTTGGCCGATTTCAGTTCATTAATTTGTTTCAAGACCAACTCAATTCATCACCCCATGAAATCGACCAAAGCAACATTAAATCCTTAATTGAGGCTTTATTTCATCGCGTCTGTTTTTCCCCGTCATGTTTGAAGGAGCATATATTCGGAAACATCCTGAATGACCTTTTGTGAAAATCTACTGTGTCGAATTTTCCATCGTTACTTAACCTTGTCACTAATCCTTGGCACATTGCCTTGTTAATCATAAATTTCCCCTGTCAGTGTCCCCGTGTTATCGTTACTAGTTATCCCCCCTTGTCACTTTTTACACTTGTGACTGTTTATTTAGACACAGTATTAACACGGTACCATCTTCATTGTTTTATTAATACTATTATTGCTCTACTATTGTCCATCGTTTCTTTATTCTCGTAGATCACTATCATTGTCATGGTTACCTTTGTCACTTCCGACTTTTCAACACGTGATACAACAATGACATTTTATTTCTGTGTACCCAGGTTTCAACTATTGATCCTTGTTTACAATTGCCGTGTTTTCCAAAATAGAAAACATAAGGAGGGCAGCTGTCTTCACACGCCAGTAAAATGAGTCAAGAACATGACCTACCCGGTGACGTAATAATTAGCGTTAACAACTAAAACATAGAAACGGAGATACGGAGACTGAATACAATAATACACAAAAACGGGTAATTCCGGATATTCTATTGATGGTTATAATATAATATATACCATGTAGATAACACCCATTTATGTTTACAAACAAAAACCACGTGTTGGTACCATTTTAACAAAGTTTGCAAAAAATACGTAACATTCTGTTCATGTAAGGTCCCAAGAATGAGGCAAGCGTGTGTAGTTACAGTCGAGACCACTCAACTGCCCGGAAACGGTCCATCAGTGCTACGCTTATATCAATGAGCGCCGGCCACGACACCTCCGTCTCGGAAAGTGTCACAAATACTCTGTCTGTTGCCCCAAATAATTCGACAGTAACCCGTCACTTACTCTCAATTCTCTCGTCAAATGTGCAATCGACGTTATCAATGCTAACTAACTCGAGCTTTGAAAATTGCACTTTTAACATTAAAATGTAGGCTGGGATCACAACAGGACTTACCGATTCACTTTGCTGTTTATCAGCTGTTTATTTCCCGCCTCGTCGGCAAAGCTGAATCACATTAAGACGGAAATTCTACATCCGCAGTTAAAAGTTGTTTTTTGTAATTGTTGCGTAGAAACTATTGTGTTTTGAAATAGTATACAAATATTATTTATAGCACAAAATTTTACCTTTTTATGATGTATTTCTTTTCGAATAATTAAATAACGAAGTTGCAATAGATCCAGAGGAACTATTTTTGTTTGTTTCAAAAGAGAAAATGGGCGGAGTCTAGCTGTCTGAGCAGCTTTTCCCGCCTTCAACCGAATGCATCCTCACTTTCACGTACAATTGAAATGACGTAACAAACGGCTTCCTTTATGGATTATTGTTTGAAGGTAAAACATTTTAAATAAAAGGATTGTCTTTCCACGTTTCTTTGTTTATGAGGTAATAGATCAAGTAGAACACACCGTTAATTACACACGAACGCTGCAGTTTGTGGATATGTACAACAAAATGATCGACATGAGCCAATTGCATTTGGAAAATCTGTAGTTTCCTGACAAATCAGTTTCCAAATTAACCATTTTTACAGAATCCGACAGATGTCATGCACCGGCAAATTAAATGTAGCACTTGAAAAACTCCAAAAGGACACTGTCATGGATGGAGACTGGCATAGAGAGAAAATGAAAAAAAAAATGACATGCTAATTGCACTGTCATAACCGCTATACCGGTATCTGATCACGTTGCCGTGTCTGTTAATTGTGTAAAGCCCCAGGAATGCACAGCATTTACCCCAAGTAGTAGCGATTATCTTACCTCATTTAGATTTTCACGTGAGAAAATTGGTACCGTTACGGAAATTGGTCTCCTTTTTTCGACGACCTGGGCGCTTAAATCTTCTGCTGACGTAAAGAAAAGTGTCAAGATGTTTGCCAAATGTTTGCTCGTATGTCATTAGCAGACAAGTTGAAACAAATAGGTGTATTATTGTCTTTCCTATTAAATGGAATATGTCTCCAGTAGGCGTTGTAAATACAGTTCTATAAAAATTGCATGAGCACACTATAACAAATAAGACACTTAAATACTAGTACTTTGTATGAGTGCTGACATTTCGTTCTATTTTGTATTTATTTTGGAAGCCGCCTTTTTTTCTTTTATCGAAGTATCATATACGGTGGAGATGGGGTCTCGGCGAAAGGTATACCAATCCGAGGTTTTCCATTTATCTTCTTTTCTTTTTAATTTAGAACGTGGCATGGAAGACAAGCGAGTTCAATTTAACTGAAATTTGAAATTTGAATTCCGGATATCTTTTCTGTTCTTCTTTTATGAAATGAGTTTTAGTTTAAGTCGCTTTTATCCTTTTTACGAAAACTTCTAAGTATTCAACTATAAACTATCCTGGCATACACTCGCGTCCCATTGTAATTGTTGCATTCGGTAAAGTTGTGTTTTCATATTATATTTTAGAAAATATAGAGAATTATTTTTTGAATAGCAGCTTTCCTTTTCCCTACAGCAGTGCGAACTACAATTACAGTTTTAACCAGGATACGCAAACATTCAAAATGGAGATTGTCAACCACAGTATATTGAATTAAAGCAAGAACAGATTTAGGATTATTTCACTCTTTTGCAGTCACGTATGTGAAGTGAAATTTATTGGAAAACAGCGATAGCGTATATCTTATGCTACCGAAAACTCTAGCACAGCGTTCCACCCGGTCACATGATACTGACAACGATAACTTAACGCTACCCATTTAAAGCTAAACGTCAAGATGAGAGCAGCCAGTACAAATTATAGGGACTCTTTGTTCGCTCTCGGATTCGCTTTAACGAACGCTCAACACTCAGGCAAAGTAAGGTGTTAGGAATGATAAACGTTATTTGTTGGACTGTATGACGCACGTTTGTAAAATACCAGGTCTAGTGTCCACACCCGTTACAGCGTCGTAGGTCATGAACAAATCAGAGTAAAAATGGTGGCGAGAGAACGTTTTGGAACGGATTGAAACAAACTTGTTTGAAATCGTATAGGGAGTTATGGAATGTCTATAGATAATGTGGATACATCAACTTGAAGGTTGATGATGCCCTCTGGGTCCGTCAGCAGCAACACATACTATGTTAAATAACAGAGTTCAGTGTATTTCCCTCAGAAACAGCAGTAAAACTGCTTTGTTCTGTCTTTTTTCAATGTTTGCATATTGATCACATAATTTTGAGCTACTAGTAAATATTTAAGTGTCTCCTGAAACAAAACTCCATTTAGATGGATAACCCTATTGTAATTTTGGATTCTGATAACCCTATTGTATTTTGATACTATGATAATCCTATTGTAAATTTTGATTGTGATAACCCTATTGTATTTTTTGATTGTGATAACCCTATTGTATTTGTTAATTGTGATAACCCTATTGTATTTTTTGATTGTGATAATCCTAATGTATTTTTGGATTCTAACAACCCTATTGTATTTTGAGATTCTGATAACCTTATTGTATTTTGGGATTTTGTTACCATTTTGTTCCTGTTTGTTTATCGTTTAATGTCCTCCTAACAGCTAAGGTCATGTAACGGCATGTGCCGGGGAAGACATTCATTAAGTGTCGGTTATACGCCTTTGAGTTATGTATGTGTATGTCTAAGAAATGGAAATATAAGCTGAGAAGAGAAATCTTCCGCACGACGCCACGGTTAGTTTACGGGTTATTATCATCCTCTCTCGCACAATCTATTCATACAAACGTTCA